GGGGGGAGAGAGAGAGAGAGAGAGAGAGAGAGAGAGAGAGAGAGAGAGAGAGAGAGAAATAGAGAGTATTTGTGTCAGGGTGACAGTTGTGGGCTGCAGGAAGATCAGGACAGCCTTACATAAGAGAGGCAGGGAGGGAGGCAGCGGGATGAGAGAGTCCGGCAGCGCAGATTTACAGGACGGATGGAGCGTCAGGGCTGGATGCGGGTTAGTGTTGTTGACTTACGAGCCATCTCATCCCGGCCTGGTAATCTGGATAAGTAGCTGCATTTCACTGTGGCAATCTACTGCAATCCAGAGCTTTACCGAACACTGCGGACTGATAAATGCTGACCACCAGGAAGCCCCGGCAGCTCACCTCATTTACAGCAGAGGAAACTCCAGTATTAGCTGCAAAATGGTCTCTGTGATACACGTTGGGGACATGAATGTTTAACAGCATTTAAAAAATATCACTATATTTACATGTTGACTGTAAAAAGAGGGTCAAAACTGCACATAATGTCCACAAGTCATTACTTCTGTTGCTTGTTATTCTTCAACAAATGGCCATAAATCACACTATTTTGCTGTATTTAAATCCACTAAAAACTTCACTGTACAGATATTTGCAGTTGTTGCTTTTGTCCTTTTTCTTTTTTTTAAATAGTTGTTTTTTAAAAATTCTTTTCAAGTATTCTAGCAGTTTTAATGATTTTTCTTCTGGTCCTTTTCTTTCCTTTTTCACACATTTTTCCCCCGTTGTTTTAAATGTATTTATTTATTTTTTATGGGACTGTTTTGAAGCATTGTACAAAGGAACATCAAGCACTGGTACTGCACTTCATTTAAATCACACACACACACAAAAAATAAACAAATAAAAAATAAATCTGGTGAAAACTTTAAATTATGTCCGCTTTAAAATAATCTGTGTTTTTCTAAAAGGTAATTTTTCATTTCACAATGTTATGCTGTTTTGCTGAATTTAAACAACAACTATTTACCATTATATTACAGATATTCATTGTTTCCTGAAAGGGGTGCTGCCTGGGGACTCCAGAGTCTCCTGTGAGACTTCAACAGTTACACACGTGGACAAAATTGTTGGTACCCCTCGGTTAATGAAAGAAAAACCCACAACGGTCACAGAAATAACTTGAATCTGACAAAAGTAATAATAAATAAAAATTCTATGAAAATTAGTCACTATGCTGTTTGGTGACATGGTGTGTACCACACTAAGCATGGACCAGAGGAAGTGAAGGAGAGAGTTGTCTCAGAAGATTAGAAAGAAAATTATTGACAAGCATGTTTAAGGTAAAGGCTATAAGACCATCTCCAAGCAGCTTGATGTTCCTGTGACTACAGTTGCACATATTATTCAGAAATTTAAGATCCATGGGACTGTAGTCAACCTCCCTGGATGTGGCTCCAGGAGGAAAATTGATGACAAATCGAAGAGACAGATAATACGAATGGTAACAAAAGAGCCCAGAACAACCTCTAAAGACATTAAAGGTGAACTCCAAGCTCAAGGTACATCAGTGTCAGATCGCATCATCCGTCGTTGTTTGAGCCAAAGTGGACTTCATGGGAGACAACCAAGGAGGACACCATTGCTGAAAACAAATCATAAAAAAGCCAGACTGGAATTTGCCAAACTGCATGTTGACAAGCCACAAAGCTTCTGGGAGAATGTCCCATGGACAGACAAGACAAAACTGGAACTTTTTGGAAAGGCACGTCAGCTCTATGTTCACAGATGCAAAAATGAAGTATATCAAGAAAAGAACACTGTCCCTGCTGTGAAACATGGAGGAGGCTCTGTTATGTTCTGGGGCTGCTTTGCTGCATCTGACACAGGGTGTCTTGAATGTGTGCAGGGTACAATGAAATCTCAAGACTATCAAGGTATTCTAGAGAGAAATGTGCTGCCCAGTGTCAGAAAACTTGGTCTCAGTCACAGGTCATGGGTCTTGCAACAGGATAATGACCCAAAACACACAGCTGTTGTTGGCATATATGGTGATTTGGAGGCGTTTCTGAAGGCAATGTGCACGAACACGGAGGTTAAGTGGGATTTATCAACACTGATGTGCGTACAACCTCCGTACGCACATTTGATAAATACAGATTTTTTTGTACTTATGCACACTCTAAATTTCATGCGTACAACAGAATTTAGAACCTTTTCTATGCACTGATGATAAATGAGGCCCCTGGTTTGGCTCCTCTGACTGATTTATTTTTACATCTGCCATCATTAGATTATTAACAGTGAGGCATCACAGCGTCAGCAGCATGTTACTGTTGCAGCTGCTGCAAGTCTGAACTGCTTTATATCCAGTGTTATACAAAAACGTGAGATAAATCTGAGGGCTGCAAACATGATTAATGGGAGAGAAAAGAAGCAAATACAAGACACAAATTTGTTGTCAGATTTTCTCTAATCTTTGAATTTTGCTGAGATATTGCATCATTGGAGCATTTACGGAAATTAGTGAGAAAAAAAACCACAGCTCTTGCTGGATTTATCACTACATGTGACTCCTTTTATGTTGTAGTCATTTGATCTATTGGTAATACAATATATATTGATCAGCACAGCTATAATTTGATCCAAAATGTGAGCGTGATCTTCTTTCGCACCTGTCTGAACCTCACTTTGCTGATATCTGCAGTAGCAGTTAGAAAAACACATATATTTGGACTTCAAACTCTCTCTCTCTCAGCCTCTATATAATGCATGACAAAAAGGTGATTAATGATTCATTGATATCTCTTCAAAAATGAGCTTTTCTGACAGACAGACTAGTAACCAGAGGACGTCTGTGTGACCGTCTGGGTTTAAGGTCTCTCTTCTGGTAGTAAGCAAGAATTCAGTCTCCCCTCATTAGACATTGCTGCAGCTGTCTCACTCCTTGAGGGTTTTCAACTTGTAGCTTTGAGCTGCTAGCAAACCAGACAGGCTGACGGGAGGAAAACACTGAAAGGACTGAAAGACACAAAGCGTGTCTTTGGACAGAGTTTTCAGGTTTGGACTTGCAAACTTGTGTAAAGCAGCAACTGCCAATTTGATTATTTCCTTTATTAATTGACTAGTTGTCTATAAAACGTGAGAAAAGGTGAAAAATGTTGATCAATCGAGGGAAAACAAAAAACAGTGTTTACTTTTAGGATGCAATTAGAGAATTTACTTTTTTGCTTACTTTACTAATTACTCAAACCAGTTATCCGTTTAACAAAACATTTGTGGTTCATTTAATAGCAGACAGCAAGTGGATTAATTATTGCAGCTCCAGTACTTGGTGGTCCAAACTGCAGCACTTTTCTGCACTGTGACAAAATCGTCTTAAAAGGCCCACTGAGAGGGGAAAAAAACAAAAAAAACAACCTCATGTCTAATGTGAGTGCAGGGAAAAATTACATCTATTATCCAGTCAGCTATTGTGTTTATATATCTTTAATGGGTTTTATTGAAATGTGGGGATATATTTGGCTACACGATGGTTGTTAGCACCATCGACTTGCAGGTAGAAGATCCCCGGTTCGCGCCCCGGTTAGTACATCTGGGATCTTTCTGTGTGGAGTTTGCATGTTCTCTGTGCAGCGTGGCTTCTCTCTGGGTTCTCTGGATTCCTCCCACAGTCCAAAAACATGCTCAAGTTAATTGGGAATTCTAAATTGTCCGTAGGTGTGAATGTGAGTGTTCTTGTTTGTCTGTCTCTAATTGTAGCCTTGTGATAGACTGGTGAACTGTCCAGGGTGTCCAATGCCTTCACCCTGAGTCGGCTGAGATAGACTCCAGCCCCCGTGACCCTCGTGAGGATTAAACTGTGGATGGATGGATGGATGGATGGATGGATGGATGGATAGATGGATGGATGGGGATATCTTTTCTTCTGGCACATCCAACCAATATTAAGAAAGCGTCCTAATCAGATGCCTGAACCACCTCAGCTGCATCCTTCAGACGTGAACGAGCAGCGCGTCTACTCTGAGTTCCCTCTAGATGTCAGAGCTTCTTTCTCTAACTCTAAGGCTGAGCCCAGAGGCACAAAGGACCTCATGTCAGCTGCTTGAACATTGCCATGATGATGGTTAGATTGACTGGTTAACTGAGAGCTTTTTCTTCCAGATCTTTTCATCTGGACAGTCGTATACAACAGCCAACAATCAACTGAAGCTTCAGACATCTGTCCATCTCACACTCCATTTGAGATATTTAAACTCTTTTGCTCCTTCCCCAACCAAAAGAGAGCAATGCACCAGTTTGAAGCAGAGAACCAGGCCTCAAAGTTTTATCCCAGCCGCCTCACACTAAAAAACAATCAGCAGTCTGATGAAACCAATCGAACCACATCGTCTGCAAAAAGCAGACACTCTGAGGCTCCCAGTCCAAACAGACTCCTCACCCCGGCTGGACCTTGTCCATAAGAACAGGATCGGAGACAAGTTGTAATCCTGGTGGATCTAACATTCACTGAAAACCAGAACGACCAATCCCATGTATTCTCGTTTTCTCTCTGACATGTTTAACTTCCTACTTATGTTTCCCAGTGGGTGCTTACTCTTCACAACTTTTCTCAGAGCTCAGCAAATATTTAGTTGAGTTTAAAGTCATCGTACCTGACAAAATGTCCAGGAAATAGCACCTACATCACAGTAAACCAGAGTTTAGTACCTATGTTGCGTACAATGTACCTCTACAGCGTGTGCTCAGAACACTGCAACAGCAGTGCTGTGTTACTCCTCTGCTGCCTTGTTTATTGTCCTCAGACTCCAAACTGGATCTTTGTCCACATG